TCAACAACCTTCATGGTTCAATCACCGGTGGTCGTTAAGTGATAGATCGTGAATGATGCTTTAATTTTTTTGTTTTCTCTCCTTTAATCATCATTTTAATTTTTTGGTCTTGGAGTGATGGATTTCGATAAACGTCAATAAAACGTTCTATCATCATTGTTGACGTGTGTAAGAAAAAAAACAAAAATTTTTTTAATGTTACTTGTCCAACGGTATACATTTGAGAACAATTGTGCATGACTATTAGTATATCATAAGAGAGACACACAAAATGTTCGATGCATACGTCCAATAAGTAGGCAAAACTTTTTTCTATGCAACAATTCAATGATTGAAATTTTTATTTCCAGAAGTCAAACAAGTAAATGAAATACTTAATTAAAATTCTAAGATACAAAAAAAAAAGAACACCAATGTTTTATTAAAATGAAAGTCATTCTCTGCATATGATCCTCAAATGAGAAATATTAATTTTTATGAATAGAAACATACGTGATATAATTAATAAGTAATGTTTCGTGATTTAACAATAATGCAAAAAAAAAATGTTTAATTATAATTTAATAAACGAATAGATTTTCAAACAATCAAACGAATAGTATCTAATAAAAATGTCAATAGAAATGTATAATTATTAGTTCAAGTTAGATAAGAAACTTTTTCTAACAAGTTCGATTTAAAAGAATATTTTATTTTCGATTTCTTTCTCTTTTTTTTTTGAGTATCTAAAATTTGCGTATTCAGTAATAAATCAAATTGAAAATAATAGTTTTTTTTCAATTATTCCCAAGGTATTCAGTAATATATATATGCTATTTTACATTTATATTCTATTAGTATAATTGACATTTATTTCTTATCGATTCACAAGGGAATATTAGCAAGTGTCTGTCTTCCATCAGCTTTATATCAGTTTCTAGAGCTCAATAAGTTGATTACAATGACATAAAAGCAGTTGTTCTCTATTGAATGTCTTTAAGGAGTTCGATCGATTACAAATTCACAAAAAAATGACTATCAGATGTTATTTAAATAATTTTAATTTTTATATTAATTTAGTTCTCAGCAATCGAAAGCTTTAATACTGGACATAATCAACATAAATAAAGGTCTTATCTACACGTCTATAATTCGAATATTTTCAATACCATTGATACTATAGATGTACGAAATTCAATTTGTTTTTTTTTTTATAATTCATCGAATTAGGACATAGATTAAAAATACATGTTGATCATATTTTGTCTATTCTACTAGTTTTTTAGACAAATATGCGAGAAAACAACTAAATATATATTAAGAAATGCAACAGTAAAGTAACGATTAAAGTTCGTATATTTCTAGCATCATTCAGTTCTTTCTGTAAAAAGAAAACGGTTCCACTATAGATAGGATTCTAACCGTTTTATCAGTTGTGATGTTCTTCATTGTAATTTATCTCATAACTGATCTTAACGGTGTTCATTTGCAGTGTATTCCTAATTTATTTATTACTATCTAAGCTAGATAACTTACTTATCCGAGTTTCACCAATATGAATGGCTTACCACGATTATGGAAGTATTTCAACAATTGAAAACCCATTAGAAGTCATCTCTGTTAATCTTGGAAAAGCTTTTGAATGATTTATCATCTCATACAGATCATTTCTTTCTAATCCATGGGAAAGTATCGAGACATCCTTCGTAAGCAATATTCACTTACAAAGAAAAGGTTGTTTGATTATTTTTATTCATTTTTCGTTGCATATACTTGTTCAATCTGTCTTAAAACAGTATATAGATCTATGTAATTGGTGGACCATAAATAACTGACCTCTTTGTATTTTTAAGATTTCTTCTCTATTATCCCTATGATTAAAGTATCTTTTTTTTATCAAACGATGCCGCTTGAAATTCTCTACAATGATACGTGTGGTTGGACTTAAAAGTCACTTTAAATATATATCTCATAAAAGATGAAAAGTAAAGACATGCAAACAACTGTAAAAAAATAAATATGACAATGGTGATGGTCGAGCAAAAATTTATCGTAATCTAGATGAAGTAGTTTCATTAACAACAAATAAATCGTGGATTCAAATGATCAACAACACCGGATCTATTAATTTATTACATCATCTCGATTGTCCGCACATAGTTCGAATGAAAGCCGATATTTCAAAGGTTAAATATCGTCTAGCTCAGAAGAAACGAGTGTCAACAAGATGATTAGCTGCTGAAATGGCCATTTCAAGAACAAGTATACGATGAATACTGCACGAAGATCTTGATTATTTTCCATACAAGAAAATCAAACAACCAAAATCGACTAATCTTCAAAAAAGGAAGAGAGTTAAATTATTATAACAAGGAAGACACCAAAAAATGGCTTTTTATTGATGAAAAGTATTTTGATTTAGATGGGGTTTATAATAATCAAAATGATCGGGTGTGAGCTGCCAGTAGGGAAGAAGCTGACAAGAAAGGTACCATGCATGAGAAAACAAAAGTTCCATAAAAGGTGATGGTATGGCTTGGTGTATGTAGTGAAGGTTTAACAACACCAATGATTCTTGAAGATGGTACTATGGATACCGAAAGGTAAATCAAAGAAGTTCTTCCAGTAGCTCTTAAATGCAGCAATAAAATGTTAGGAAACCACTGAACATATCAACAAGATGGGGCAAAAGCTTACATGCATCACCTGAGCCAAGAGTGGTATGCTGATCCTGATCATTTTCGTGCATTCATCCCGAAGAACTGTTGAGCCACCAAATTCATCTGATTTATATCCATTAGATTACAGTAACGAAGAAATTCTTCAGCAAGGCGATGTTCGAAATGATCATTTAGTTATCGAACAGTCCAAGCCACGATATTCAACTTTGATTAACTAAACGCAAGAGTAACAATCAACTGTTAACAATAATACTTTTGTACGTTATACAATGATTAATCTCTATTAATAAATATTTCTCACTTGAAATATAAACTGATGTTGCAATAATTATTGCTAAAACATATTCATAAGCAAGAGAAAATAATCCAACAGTAACACTATTAATAAGATAAACAAGTGTACTTATTCAATAACCATAAATAGAACTAATTTCATCAATTGTAAGTCAAGATAAATAAAAATTATTTTCTTCTATTGATTCAAATTTAATTTGTCGTATTTGACATCCAATATATGCTTGATAAACAGATGTTATCAAACAATAAATATTATAAATAGCTTGTAATGCATCCTAAATCAAAAATCATTATTATTATTTATTAAAAAAAAACTCTGTCAAACCTCTTCATTATTGAATGTATTTTTTTCTAAGGTTATTTTTAAATGTTGCCAAATATTTTTCATTAATCGTATTCGTCGTATACTAATTCAATAAACAAAACAAAAAAAACCTTCTTCTATTATTTTTTAATTAAATATAAATATACCGAAATGGTTGTTCTGAAGTTCGATTTTTTTCTTGAGTTAACTAAATAATAACTTTTTCTAATGCATAATTAAAATACTAAAACAAAAGAAAATAAATAAATAAAATAAATTTTATTTATTTTACTTTAGCTAAAAGATATTCATCAAGATTTGATAATAAATGTTCAATAACTTCAAATGCATGTATAATTAATAATGAACTAGTTGAAATATTTCTTTGACCACATTGAAATAAAATTGATAACCGTAATGAAAATTTTTCAAGCTATATTTCTGTTTGAATTTCACCAAAATATTTTTATGATCGATTTATTATATGAAATTCAATATCAGTTTTATTTAATATATTTATATGTATAAGTAATTTGAACGTGGTAAAATAAAATTAATATGTTCAGAAAAAAATTTTATTCATTCATTTTCATTTTGACATATTATATGAAGAAAATTTGTAAATTTATGTTCAAGTTGTATTGAATGTCTACAAAATTTGAAAAATAATATTTAATAAAAAAAAGAATAGAAATTATTACTTTGGTTCAGTATAAATAAAATTCATAATTATTAGAAGAATATCAGACAAGTAGCGCTCATCCTACGGATTCGCTGACCCTTTTCTGAAAGAGAATTTAGTATGATTATTATTGAATATAATTTCAATTTTGATTATACTATACCTTAGAGTCTTCTTGATTGAATGAAACTAATCGAACACGGTTGGTTTTTAACTTGATGAATAAATGATCAATCACAACCATATAACTTATTTTTTTGAAAAAACTAATCAAATTTAAAGAGTTTAAGCTAGTTGTGATACAGAATATTCTCGAATACTGTCATTTTGAAAATAATCTGGGTAAAGGAACCTTAACCCTTTACCCCCCCCCCCCCCTTGGTCACTGGAATGACCATTTGTAGAACGATTGTAGAAAATAAAGGAAGCATAGAATTCAAAACCTCTAAGAGCACTATTTGTAGTAAACTTCATGAGCTATCGACTAGTAAAAAAAAAGATTTTTTTCGCTGTGCTAGTGCCGAGATATACAACTTATAAAATCGATGATTTTCAAAAAAAGTAAAAAATGGAATTTTCTTGGTAAAATTCTTTTTCTACCTCTAGGCAATATATATCTTGGCGACGTGTTGCGTGATTTACATCAAAGAAAGTGTCCACTAGTAGATTATATAAGTTTCAAAAATTTGAAAAGCATTAGGTAGGCAAGATGTGGTAAAGCATCGAATGGTCACTGAAGGACTTCCAGAAAATCAACCCTTAGCTTTTGGCCGTCTACAATCCGAAAATAAAGTTTTGTTTAAACTACGTAAAATTATAGAGTGAACAATTCTCTACAAAATAAGACGTCCACGAGCTCTCTACGATGTTTTTTCGCCGAACTCCGTCGGTATTATGGAAAGTTCACGAAATTTTTTCCAAATCAATCCCCCTACTCCCCCTCAACAAACTACCCTAAAACTCAAGTGTGCGTTTGATCGATCTGACCGTAATTTTAGCATATTGGAGGCACCAATACTCTATTCCAATGGCTGTTTCATCAATAGCTCTTCTGGAACCTCTATGGGGGGTAAAGGGTTAATATAGTTGAAGAATCAAAAAATAAATGTTTTGAAAAATATTAACCGCCTTTCAGCACTAGATTTCTCCAGAGCGAGCACCCTTAAATGATTCGCTAGACATTTAAATGTTATACCATCATCAGAAGCAGACCTCGAATTTCAGTTGTTTATCCTTGATTAAGTCTGATCAAGCTTATTACAGATATATGGTCATATTCAGTTGTTTGGGATGTCATATTTTCTTATTCTGAACTCAGACTTTCCTGAATAAAACGGAGAGACAAACATTTATGCTTTTTTAAGTGGGATATGTATTGCTATATGACTGTTTCTTTAGAAAAACGAAATTAGATGTCGTTTAGTTGTTTCCGTTTGTTCAGCGAGTTCAGTAGCATGACCAAGCGGCGACCACCCTAAATCAGAATAACATGAAAAAAACATATTTTTTTCAAAATTATAGAATTTCGCACAGCTTCTTGAAACCTTTAGGATGGCATAACTACATCTATTTTTGCTTACGACACAATAAGCAAAAAACGCCCTGCTAGCATCCATAAATCCTTTACTGGATAGACTATATTACGTCAAATGTCTAATAAGGAATTATTTTGGTTCAAGAATCAGATCATTTGACAATTTCAGAAGGTACCTCAACTTCCACTTATACTTACGATAAGCCTTCTAAATCAACGTCTAGTCGTTCGTCGGCCTCCCTCCGGTCGGCCACTCACGACTAGCCGTTTCCATATTTGGTTTATTTTTCTGCCTACCATTTGTCACATTAGTACTCTGATGCGCAGAAAAAATAGTTTACTCATGATGTATCGATATGTAATCAAAAATTTCCGACATTTAAATAACGTTGTGTACTTTTCGTCATAGTTTTCAACTTCTTTTTATTTTAACAAAATGATATGTTGCCGAATTTGTTTTCAAATCAGCATTAGTTAAGTTCTTCTGAGAATCTCCCTAAACCGCTTCAGACTCATTTCAAAATTCTGCTCTAAAATAACCTTCTCAGTCAACGTCTAGTCGTGCCCATATTTAACGCCATTCAATTATTCGATACTAGCCTTCCTGCCAGTTGTTTCTTCATGTGGGCGTGGATGGGTGTGAGTGTGTGGGTGTCGGTTGGGCATGGGTGCGAGTGCGGCTGTGGGTGTGGCTGCGAGTGTGAATATTTTTTTTATCGACACTCACCTACACCCACACCCACTTACGCCCATACCCACACCCTCACACCCTTCTTCCTGATTGGCCCGTTTCCCAACCAATGAAAGCTCAGATCAAAAATCCGACCTGGGATTCGAATTCCTCGCCCCCGAAAACCTATAACAAAGTTTCATCAGAATGGGCGAAAGCCCAATGAATAAAAAAGCTCGTTTCTGATTGGTCCGATTCTCAACCA